CGCCCAAAATGAAGATATATATTGCGCTCTGTGTGGATGGGCTTTTGTTCATATCAGAACTGCTTCTCTCCCCATGCAAGTCAATGGAAAGGCAAAAGCAGTGCGAAGCAGGTTTATGCAGGTAACGGTCACCATACAGATTACAATCTGACTTCACATCTGTACAATCAACTTTCAGATTTACCAAGCCTAAGTAATATGAACACCTATCTAAACCGTCCAGTCAATTAACATCTAATCAGACAGGCCTTTGTAGCTTCCTAATGAGCTTTAGGTGGTGACATAATGCAGGTTTGATTGAGGGCAACGCAGCTCACATACATCTGTCAGTGAAATTTGAATGATCTCAGAAGTTTATCAAACTGACTTCAAATGCTGGCTAAAGGCATCTAAAAGCAAGCTGCAATTGCTTATTTAAAAAAAAAAAAAGCTAGCAGTCCAAATAGGAGAACCCAGTACTAGACAGTCTTCTATATGCCGAGTTACAGAAAATTACACCAATCATACAATGCCACTGTGCAGTGTCCATACATAAAGAATAAAAGACACTGAGAATGCACTTGACATACTGACAAGGAAAGAGTCATGCAGTTCTATTTGCGTGCAGAAAAATTTGTTTTGCAGAGGAACGGGAAATGCAGAATATTACCAGTGACATGATGTAAAACCAAAGCAACACAACTAAACAAATGCTCAAATAATAATCATTACTGTGAGAAGTAGACAAGCAGGTCTGGCACGCAGGCACAATTCAACTACCAGTGTCCTAGGAAGTTGGATGCCTTTTCCTTAGCTCTTCCTCCTTTTTCTTTCAGCTTTGCTTAGAAAATATTTAACTATATTCTTCCATAGCCTTTTTATTCCTGTTTTTTCTTCAGCCAAGATACTCAATACAATCTAGGTTGAGCTAGTCTTTACTGAACAGCTGTCCAAATTCGCATATCTCCAGCAATAGCTTTTGAGGCTGTACCCAGAGCCAGTTAAGGTGGCCATACACTTAGACCTTAGTCTTGCGATGGTTGTAAAGTAATTTAAAAAACGTACGATCTGCCCATCTTGGACAGGCAGATCGTACTTGCGATCATCGCAAGCCCGCCCCCCTGAGGGGCAGGCTTCCAATGACTGCAATGCTGAACGGGCAGCGTGCACACACCGGCCCGTTCGGCATTTGTCTCCCGAGCACCGTTCTTACGATTTTCAGCTGGTTTTCTAGCCTGCTCCTTAGACAAAAGACTTGCGACCGTACAGTAGAAACGGTCGCACGTCTTCATTCAGACTGCACGATTCTCGTACGATCGCTGGATTTCCCGCGATTCTCGTACGAGAATCGTGCAGTGTATGGGCACCTTTAGAGTAAATTGTGGGGCTAGCTCCAGTCACCTCCAGGACACCTGAAATCCTCATTAGTACCAGGTGCCTGGAACTGTTATTGCTTTAGGCCTCGCCTCCGGTGGAGCCTAGTTGCTGACACACATGCTTCTCAAAGACTCAAAGGACAGTCCCACTGCTTCAGATGACCTCAGCCAAAGTGTTCTTTATGGTACCAGGGGTGTTTACCCAATATTCTCAAATGGAACTGGCACCTGTAATCGGGCCCCTGGGCCCCTATCATTATAGGGTCTTCCATCTGTGGAGTGTATATTAGCTCTGCTGTTTGTGCCCAGCTACTGGAGTCTGCTCCACTGCCATTCTGAACAGAGTCTCTTTGATCCTCCTGACCATGAGCCAAACTGGGTCTGCAGCCCCATTGTCATTTCCGATTCAGGCAGGCCTTGTCAGGGGTAACAGCAGAATGGTCAGAGGTATACTTAGCTGGGGACTTCACTGGTAGAAGGCTGACTCGGATCCTTGAATGCCGGTTTAGGTTTAACCGGTTTAGCCCTCCGTTCTGTATTAGCAGTAACTCTGATCGGTCAAACCATGTCAGAATGTATTGAACTCCTTATGGGGAATCTTTCCATTACTTGGTTAGGTCCCTGTGTTATGGAGCAGATGTCTGGAGCCTTGTACTTAAGCTGGGATGGGTTATCGCAAGCCTCTGAACTTGTCTGGCATGGGACTGATGTTTGTATAAATGCGTAGTGCACTTTGGCTACATGTGTTGGCTGCTGATGAGTCCTCCAAGGAGCAGCTGATTCGTCTTTCCTTCAGGGTCCCTTTCACACTGATGTGATGCGTTAATTGCACGGTTCTGTGCAATTAATGAACCGCACAAAGCACTTACCAATCCATTACCAATACCAATGCATTAGCAATGCGGGAGGCGTTTTACTTTGCCATTCATTTGAATGGCAACCCAAACGCACTTCCCGCCCGCAATGCGCTTGTCTTGGACTTGAGGACACCGAGGGACATTCCATCACTAGACCGGAGAAGGAGTCAGGATGAAGGGAGGGGTCTAGGAGCCAGCCAGGGTTGTGGTTCGGGTGAGTATTAACTTTATCTCCTTAGACAAAACGAGCACTTAACCCTTACAGTGCGGGGGTAGTCCCACTGCAAGGGTTAAGATTTTATTTTATGTTTTTCTGTTGTATCAGATGAGATTGGCTTATGGATGTCTAGCACGAGAGATGAAAACTGTTCATTATTGTGTGAGGAACAGGAACTTATGACAGTGAATAGCACATTGCTACCCTCTAGGCATGTATCAGGCTTCCTGTTATTATCTCATTAAAGGACACTGCAGATAGACTGTTATCTTGTTTAGCACACGAGTAACACAGAGATTGCAGATTATTTTAAACACATTGTTGATAGACATTGTAGAAAAATATATAATTGCGCAAAAAAAAGAAGAGAAAACGTCTTTTTCATTATTATTACTGTATTTGCAGTTTGATTCCCAATGCCTAGATCAGCTTGCTCATTGCTATTCATTTTGTACACACATAATATGCTAATATGATTCATTTCTTCTTCAAAACAGTTTGTTACAGCCTTCATGGAGAATATGAATTGACTGGGTTTTGTTTTATTTGTGCATGATTGGATATTCTTTCCAAAGTGATTTTTCACCTCATTCTCTAAGCTGAGGGATAATTCCCTTGTAAAGTGACCAGCTTTTGTGCCTTTAGTAAATCAACCCCCTGACTAGTTTCCTGAGAACTAGGAACACACATTTGCACCGTCCTAGTTCTCTGTTACTAGTTTAAAGCCTGGGTTCACCATTTGAACGAGGGGCCCCAGTAGGTTAAAAAAAACCACTGTGGGGGGATTTTATCAAAACTGGAGCAGACAAAATCTGGAGCAGCTGTCGATGGTAGCCAATCAGCTTCTCTCTTCAGTTTTATTCAGTTAAGATTTGAAAATGAAAGAGAGAAGATGATTGGTTGCCATGTACAGCTGCTCCAGATTTTGTCTGCTCCAGTTTTGATAAATTCCCTTCTGTGTATCTTTTTAAATGCCACACTTGCAGGGTATGAGCAGCACCCCCAAGCCTGGCTGAAAAACTCTAATTGTAAGCGATCAACCCCATCCTACCTAGAAGCTGGAATACAGCAAAATGTGGGCACTTGGCCCCAGCGTCACAAGACTGCACTCAGAACTGCTGCTACAGGAGAAGGGAGAACGCACTGTGCATGCCTGGGGTTTGAACAAGGGAGAGCACTCACTGCTGTGATGCTGTGGGGCAATAAAAGTATGGTGCATCCTAGCTTCTAGGCAGGATGGTGTTGATCGCTGATGGCTTTTTTGGCCAGGTTTTGCAAGTGCCACTCATGGCTTACAGGTATGGCATTTAAACTAACCAAACAAAAAAAGTATGCTGCACGGCGTTTTTTAACCAACTGGCGCTCCGGGACTGCATAGTCCATTTGATTCAAAATGTGAACTTACTGTGCCAAATAAAGTGGCAGCTCCAAAAAAACCTTTGCACCTTGCTCTGAGCGTAAACAAGGCAACATACATTTATACATTTGTCATTACAAAATGCATTCACAAGCATTAGCTCATGCAGTTGTGTATACCCTCTTATTGTGGCCAATGTCTGAACCTTTCTGTATGCACACTGTGTTCCCTCTGTGAAATATGGACTATTGCTTATCTAATTCTTTATGTGGTTTTATTCCTTCATGAAAGGTGTATACAAAATAGCTGTTACCAAATAGGTAGATTTCAGATATCCCAAAATGCTTTAGTAAAACAAATCCAATATTTATTACAATAAACATTTCACAAATTTGGTCTGGACAGTAAGAATGGGATCTTGTCTTATACAGTTGGTCCAGATATTGAGGACCAGATCTGGTTTAGTTTACTAAACATACAAGTTACTAAAGTTCCAAAGTCAGTCACATGTGGCAGGAATTATTGTCCGTACAGATGAAAACACAAAAAAAAGCGCCAGAGAGGACTGCTCAACCAGTACAAACCAATATACACACGAGTATAGTCAGAATCAAAGTCTGTTTAAGAATTGATAGATGAATAAAAATTAATGAATGAATAAATAAAAGCACGTTTATAAAAATGTCTGTAGGATGCTGCCCCAAACCAGATAGGGAGACTGTAAAATCTAGGGAAAAAACACAAACAAGGGGCGCCTTTCCTGGTGCAGACACATTTATTAGGATCAGGTTTGGAGGTAAATATAAAACATACTCACAAAATTCATGATGAATCAGATACCATCAGATACCTGATGAAGGGGGCGTGACTCCGGAAACGCGTCATCACACATCACACAGTCTCCTCTGCTGACACATAGACACGGCTATGCAGCTTTCACAGACTTTTCCTTGGGTCCATGGGCTTAATTTTTAAACTTTTTATACTTCAATCATGAATTTTGTGAGTATGTTTGTTTTATATTTACCTCCAATCCTGATCCTAATAAATTTGTCTGCACCAGGAAAGGCGCCCCTTGTTTGTGTTTTTTCCCTAGGAATTATTGTCGGATAATATTGCCAGGAATAATATTTTTTTTATTTGGTTTACAGGTAATAAATCGGTGTTTTGTTTTTAAAATGGTCTAATCATGAGTTTTAATTTAACAGAGTCAAATGGAGTTCACCGTTGCTTCTTTATCTGGTCAAGAATTGGCAACTGGTCTTGCACAGACTGAAACAAAGCAAACCCCCAAACCTGCAAATCAAATTAAGGCCCCGCTTAGTAATCCCCAAGTTAAGAATCCCCAGGTTACAAGAACACCCAACTATGATGGATCAACTCCAGTGAGGAAAGAAGAGGAATCGGCCTTTTGGAAAATAAGCATGGAGCGATCTAGAGTTGAAGGCTCACAGTCTGAATTTCAGTCCTTAACACCAAGCCAGATAAAGTCCTTAGAAAAAGGAGAGAAACCACTTCCTGTCTATTATAGGCAAGATTCCTTCCCGAAGGAAAAGGAAGTATCCAAACCTGAGAAACCTGAGAAATCAACACTGTTGACTGAAAAGCCAGCTGTAATTACCAAACAGCCAAAGACTACCATTCCAAGTGTCATCTCTTTGGAGAATCCGAGGCCAAGCCAATCTTCTGTCAGCACTCTGGATGATGTCTTTCTCCCAGACCCAGTGGAACCAGTGACTAAAACCAGAAAGGAACCTGAAAACAATGAACCTCAACTATTTTCACAGGTTGGTGTTTAATTTATGTCCTACCATCTGTCCAGCTAAAACAAATTTAAATCCTGCTCTGTGTTTGTAGAAAATATTGCAACAATAACTTTGGTATTTCTGTTTGAGAAACTGAAACCTTGGTGCAACTTGTGTAAAAAAATGTTCAGTATAAACTTGTAAAACAGTGCAGTTGCACAATGGCAACCACTTAAAGTGTAAGTGTACTTTCTCCTTACTGACATTGACTAACATTACTCAGCTGCATACATTAGGAGTTCCTGCAGCTGTGTCCTGCCTCAGGGCTCATTCGCACCAGATAAGTGCGTTCCGCCCCGATTCTAGCCAGAACGCCCTGCCTCGCATTGATTCTTAACAGAAGGCCGTTACCAGTGAAGATGAGCTAGGGACTTGTTAATGTGAGTAGCCAAGTTTGTGCTGGGGAAGGTGGGCCAGAGATGGGCGTCTAAGCCAAAGGGTTAGCAGGTACGTAGTTCATAACATATCCAAGGTCAGGGCAAGAGGGTTATAGCAAGCTCAGCTCAAGCAAGTGATCAAATCACAAATGGCCAATAGGTCTGAGGTAGTAGTAGAAGTATGAGGTGTACCAGGCAAAGAAATACCGGAATGAGGATCTAAACCTACAAGAAGCAAACAACTCAAAAGAACTAGGCCATGAGTGGGGAACTAGGCAGAATCCTGGGAAAGGATAACAAAATAGAGAAACAAGCACAGAATACAAGTGGACTATGATGCTAGGGTCCTTGTAAAGGAGGAGTATAGATAAATCAGGTGGTGTGCACTAAGCCACCTGAACAGATAAATAGGAACAAAGTCTTCTCACGCAAAGACACAGGAAAGGGGGTAAAAGCAAATAGGACTTCATGACAGGGGACAAACACAGAAGATGAAACATGCAGGCAGTAGGACTTAGGCTGGGTTCATAGGGCATTCCTATTAGGCACGTTTTATGCCCGTTTTTGCCCTTGCGTTTGGAGCACGTTTTTTTTGTCCAATGAAATGCGCGTTTTGTAACCTCCCTGGCTGTACGATTTTTTTTTTTCTTCTGTTTTTTTCATAATTAATTTTTTTTTTTTAAACTTTTAAACTTCCCGCCGGTTCCGTCCCCCTGCGACGCGGACGCTAGCAAGGGACGGAAGCCGGAGGACACAGCGGGGATCGCAGACAAGATAAGACCTACGCTGTATTCCCGAGTGTGGCTCGGGGTTACCGCTTTGGTACAGAAAATTAACCCCGAGCCACACTCGGGAATACCAATGGATACGCTCTGAAATCTGCCCCTACGAGCGAAAAAGAAGCTCATGTACTTTTTCGCGCGTAGGGCGTTTTTCAGCGTGCCAAAACGGGCTGAAATACGCCCAGGTTGGAGCCATGCCCATAGGGCTTGATAGGATTTCACCTCCTTGAGCGTTTTTCAGCGCTTCGATCAGCTCTGAAAAACGCCCAGGTGTGAACCCAGCCTTAGGGAGTACAAGAAGGAAAAGCAGCAATTGAAACAGGTGGACACAGTGAGCAGAACACTGGTAGGTTACAAATGTAGCCACATGCCTGCATGGTTAAAGAATAGAGGATTGGACTAACTGAAACTTCAAACCTAACAAGCTCATGGCTACACAATTTTTAGGAGTTATTTCTTGCTACGTCCCTGCTAACCCTTTGGCTTAGACGCCCATCTCTGGCCCACCTTCCCCAGACTTGTCAAGGCTACTCACCTTGACAAGTCCCTAGCTCATCGTCACTGGTAACGACCTAAGGTTTAGTAATCCGCCACTTGCAAAAGTCCAGCGCTTATGTCTTTGGCACACTGTTAATACATTTTAGAAACGTGAGCCAGGGTCTCGATTTTGGTGCATGTGTGCAAGCCCTTGAGAATAAAAGATGAAGGCTTATAGTTGCAGACTTGCACCACAGAAAGTAATAAACATTATATAAACTGTATGTATGTCCTATCTGCTGTCACTTGCCAGCATTCTTTTCTATTAGGGCTTGTTCACACCATGTCCGGGCCAGATATGGATGCGTTTCTGCATGTGCAGTGCGCTTATGATGCATTCCGGTGCACTGTTTTTTCTTTTAAAATGGGCTTTCAGGTGTGGTCCAGTGCGTTTGCATGTGTTTTTTGATGCGTTTTGGTGCATTTCAGACCAGAAAAATATAGTGCATGCAGCCCTGGTGCACTGCACTGGTGTGAACAGAGCCCAGAAATACTATAGTAATACATTGGGATGCATTTCAGGTGCAGCCAAAAAACGTTCTGGTCCGGAAATGGTGTGAACCAGCCCTCAAAGTTTTCAGAACCGGTCGTCTATGCATGTATAAGGCTATTTCGTGTATACAACACCTATTTGTTTTTTTAATTTTAAGCCTTTTCTTATGTATAATTACTGAACACATTTTGTCATCATTGTATACTGTGTATTAACGTTGACAAGGGCACTTTAAAAGAGAACTATGGGGTAACCTACCTTTTTTATCCTATAGTTCTCTTTAGAGTCATGAGTAGTGCTGCAGCCAAAAGCTTACTTCAGAATAAAACGGTATGCACTGCACTGGAACACAGGGCATTGCAGTACACCGTGTTCCAGTACAGGTGATCACACCGCAGACGGGAGAGGTGCATTTGGAAACCATTGAAATTAATGGCACCGCAACACACCTCCTGCAGCAATTTTTGTCAGGCTGAAACTGAAAATGACTTTTCCCACCTTTATACATACATAATATATATACATACTCTCTCGATAGATATAGATCTATATATCTATATATAGATCTCTCTCTCTCTCTCTCTCTCTCTCTCTCTCTCTCATTTTTTTAACTTTTATTTTTGTAAACTTTTATTTTTTTACTTTGAGGGATCAATAGCCAGCTTGCTATTGGATATTCCAAATTGCAATAGCCATTAGCAGGCTGGCTATTGCACCTGTCCACTGAAAGTTCTCCATCAGGTCCTCTGCTGACAGTAGGCAGTGGGCAAATGCAATAGCAGGCTGTGTATGGCTCCCAGCCTCTAGACACTAAAGAGGAATGGGGCAGCAGCAGAAGCACCTACGCGGGGCTAAGGCAGAATGGGGCGGGGCTGAGGAGGAACGTGACATGAGACAGCAGCGGAGGTACGGAGGGTGTGGGGGGGGGCGGGGGAATGCAGAGTCACCACGGTCTCTTCTCCTCCTCGCTCGTGGTGGTCGGTGTCCTCACTGCTGAGGCAGGTGGCGATTAAGGGGACACAGACGGCTGCAGCCAGCACCAGCAGGGAGGAGAGCGTAGGAGTAGATCAGCGGCAACTAATCGTAAAACAACTAATCAATGATGAGAATTAGGGATGCACCGATACAAGCATCGGTATCGGCGGCGATACCGAGTATTTGCATGAGTACTCGTGCAAATACTCCGATACATAAAACGAGTACCTGTGCCGCGTCCGCCATCTTCAGGGACCCGAATCCGCCGCACACAGGACCTAGGGTGTGGGGGGGGGCGGGGGAATGCAGAGTCACCACGGTCTCTTCTCCTCCTCGCTCGTGGTGGTCGGTGTCCTCACTGCTGAGGCAGGTGGCGATTAAGGGGACACAGACGGCTGCAGCCAGCACCAGCAGGGAGGAGAGCGTAGGAGTAGATCAGCGGCAACTAATCGTAAAACAACTAATCAATGATGAGAATTAGGGATGCACCGATACAAGCATCGGTATCGGCGGCGATACCGAGTATTTGCATGAGTACTCGTGCAAATACTCCGATACATAAAACGAGTACCTGTGCCGCGTCCGCCATCTTCAGGGACCCGAATCCGCCGCACACAGGACCTCCATCGCGTCTTCAATGAAGCAAGTTGGCTGCGACCTCCTCTGTCATCTGCTCCATTCTGACCCCTTCTCCCGCTGATTGGCCGATTGGATAGAATCGTTGCTAACGATTCTCATTATCGGTTATAATCGATTTTAATCAATCAGTTATTGCAGCCATAGTCATGGGAGGACATATACTAACCTCCTCCCGTGACCCAAAGATCAGTATATAGCAAGCTATATACTGAGAGCGCAGCAGTCTGGACGGATCCCGACAATACTGTCGAGATCCTCCCAGCTGGCTGATTGACAGCTGGCTCTGCCTATCTAGAGGCAGAGCCAGCTGTGCCCGCCCTCTCCCCGTCCATTCATCCAGTCAGCGCTGGAGGATCGCAGAGGATCCCTGCGGGAAGTGGTGACTGGCAGTCACTGCTCTCTGCAGGTAGATGATCGGAAAGTGAGCGAGTGACGTTTTACGTTTGCTCACTTTCCCATCAATAGAGCCGAAGTGTGACAGTTTCAATGTCACAAGTCGGCTCTAACTATGGGGATGAGTGAAAATCACCTCATAGTTCTCCTTAAGTACTGTGCAACTCATCCGTGCTTCAATTTCCTGATCTACCATAAACATTCATGGTCCTTGAAATCTAATTTTCTTGATGTTTGTTTTCTGCAACAACAACAAAAAAGTAAATAAATGTCAAAGTACAATTGCCACAAATTATTGGCAGGCATGCCATTTGGAAGAATATGACAATTGAATTGGCAGATCTAGCTTTAAACATAATCTTCAGCCAACTCTCACAGATCCCTGTTTGAATACACATTATTGCGTTATCTAAATATTGACATCCCAAGATGTAGCTGTACATGTATTCTAGCCTTTCATGGACCCTCTGGATAGTCACTCCCTTCCCCCAGTCTTCATGTGCCTATGTTTAATACATTAATACAAAAAGAACAAACTGAAAGGTTCACAAAGGAATTTGAATCTTTGTGAACATTTGTCTGAAGGACATCATTTTCAGCAAGCATGTAAAGGCCCTAAAACTACTTTGAGCCCTTTAAAGGACACATTTAGGATTTCAGAAAAAAATACCCCCAACCCTTCTTTTGCCCTCCCCATCCACTAAACCTCCTCTGATGAAGACCGGCCCCTGTGTTGTCTACAGTCTAGCCAATAAAAATGTTGTGTCGGCCATCCCTACTTATCCTCTTACTCTACCCTGCTCCCCCTCCCCGCTTCCTTACCTTACCCTGAGTCTCCTCGACAGAGTTTACAACTGAAAAGGGCTTGTAATGTGGTTTATCCATTCCTTTTATGTCTCAGTAGCCCACAGAACTTTAAGAGTCGTATGACTTAATGTGAGATATAAATGTCCCTAGTTGTATACGCAACATTGATTTGATATACACCTCCATTTTGTATTACTGTGATGTAACTACACTTTCTTATTTTTGTATACTTTGTTTATACTTGAAAATCAATAAAACTGATTGAACGAAAAATGTTGTGTCGGGCCAAGATCCAGGAAAAGTGTTAGACCCCTCAGTCGGAAATTTTGCTATATATATATATATATATATATATACAGTGACCTTACCACTCTGCTTTTTTTTAACACGCAGGGGTGTGGAATTCCTATTGCCCGACGCCCGAGACATGCAGTTTCGGGTGCCGGGCGTGTAGTTTTTTTTTTTACATTTAGCCCTGCTTCGGACAAGCTCTATAACCGTCAGATCGCTTGTATGTAAACAGGCATCGCTGTCTGTTTTTAAAATTTGGGCAGTCCCTAAATTTGACTCGCTTTGCCTGATGAAGGGGATCTTGTTAGACCCCAAAATGTTGCTTTTGATGCATTGTGCTATGTCTCATGCGTCAATAAACAGACGCCATTAATTCATTATTTGGAGTGCCAGTGTCTATGTTCTATCACTTCCCTTTTCCCTTCTTCTCCCTTCTACAAGCTAGTAAATGAACAACTACTGGAGACTGTGCCGTCCTTTGTGATCTTGTACTGGATAGGAAGTTCAGGGAAGTGAAGCTGAGAGAGTTGGAAACATGATGACTTAAGTGCTTGGGCAAAAAAGTAAAGAAATACTTTGCTGGGCAAAGGTATATTTGTCTAATCTGGATTCATTATTTAAAAAAGTTTGGGAGTTTAACCCCTTCATGACTGAGGCCCTTTTTTCAATTTTTGCACCCATGTTATATTCCACATTTTATACTTTAAAGGAATTGGGTTAAATGGCAATTACATCATCCGTCTTCCCTAATTTGGCTGTAAGGTATATATTTTTATTTTCTGTTGACTAAAAACTTACTGTTATAAAATATCACAGAATACTTCCTGCCAATTGGGAAAGGAGGGATGATGTCATTGTAATTTAACCCGCTTTTTGTAAGCCCAGGGTGTCAAGGTTCCACCCCCGAGGGTCCACATTATCAGACTGCCCTAGGCTCAGAAAAGGATGCTGTAGAGAGCAGTGCAGTAATCCATATCTGCTCAGTCCAAGAAGAAGAAAAGGACTATATGTGTCCAGATTTAAAAAGGTAAAGAGAGTAGGCATTAAAGAGAGTGAAGAAGAATGACCATAATAGAAAGCCCAGATTCGCAGCTAATGCCTAAGGATTACTAGAGAGCTGCGAGAAGGGAAAGCATTCATTACAGAGCTTACAACAGACTCTATACACAGGTCTAATTGTAAAATGTTATTTTACATTGAAGAAAATTGTAGGTTTACTTACTAAAACTGGTTTATGTTGCCAACTATCTATATTTTAACCAGTTCCCGACCGATGACGATGATTATCCCATCATGATCATTCAGATCGTGAACGTCCGGTGACGAGATAATCTCATCATTTGGTACAATGAGCGCTGGTCCGTGAAGGGACCAGCAGCTTATTGAGTTAATGCTGTTGATGGGTCCGAGGCAGACCCTCAACAGAAGATTAGGTGGTCACAGTCCTGTGAGCACAGTGAGATCTGATTGCTGTGATCTCAGGGCCGTGACAGTCACAGAGCCGGCAGCAGTTCATTGTGTTTTTGTAAATAGCTATCCTGCTTTGTGTTACAAAAGTGATACAAAGTATCTCTGAGGAGAATACTGTATTCTCCTCAGAGATACTAAGTAGCAAAGCCCCTGTAAATAAAAAATAACCCTTTGATGCCCCCTATCTAAAAAAAAAAACATTTAGAAATAAAAACCTGGTTTTTAACATTTTTAAAAAAAAGTTTAAAACAGTCAAAGTTAAAAAAAAATACATTTAATAAAAGAATTACAAGAAACTATAGTGCAGAGGAGGCTATTAAAGATGGAAGACAAACATACATTCTAAAATAGTTCCACACTGATTTCACTCTATAACTCCCAAAATAAACTGAAATCCCATATGATTTACCCTATAAATTATTTAATTTTAATTATCTGTAAAAATTTAAGTCAAGGCAAATGGACTTGCTGTATTTTTCTTGAAGACGTTTCACCAGTCATCCAACCAGCTTTCTCAATTCAGAATGACTTGTACAAAAATGATCTGGGAATAAATATGGTGAATGTTGCTCCAATCCCCATCATCTGTTAGTCGCAAACCAGGTGTTGATTACATTTGCATAATTGGAGTTAGGTGTTAATAACCTGCCCAGAGAGAGGAGTTAAAACAGCATTGTATGTGGCAGACAATAGATGTCTCACCCCTCAAGCTTGGCTTCTCCATTTTTACATAAATGGCCTCTTTTATGATGCAGTCAACACCTGGTTGCGACTAACAGATTATGTGGATTGGAGCAACATTCACCATATTTTGTCCCAGATAATTTTGTGTACAAATCATTCTGAATTGAGAAAGCTGGTTGGATGACCAGTGAAACGCCTTCAAGAAAAACACAGCAAGTCCAGTTGCCTTGACTTAATTTTTACAGCTATACCGTGACCTGAATGAATGAGAAGCTTCACAGACTTAATTTGAATTACTTTCGGTCAGCTACACTAAGTATGTATACATTATTATTGCCAAAGCTGTGAACAATTTGTGTTTTTTTTGAGTGTGTTCTTTTTTAATAAAAAAAAACAGGAATTTATATATGCATATGTCACATCAAAATAACGGCCATTTTTTCCTTAGAAACATGGTATATAATATGTGTAGGTGTAATGAAAGAGGTAGATGGAAACTATGGGTAAACAAACACATGGCAATATTGCTCTGGTCCCCAGAAGCGTAAAAACATTTCTGAAGCTGTGTCACTAAGGGGTTACATTTATAGCCAGTAAAACAAATGATACCTAGCTGCTTTTTACCTACCTTGTTTGCATGTTATTTCTGTATCTGACACCAGCCTTTTCCCTTTTCCTTTACAGATCAATACCAGCAGTGCTCTCTTGAAGACGGGATTTGATTTTCTTGACAACTGGTAACTACAGTCAGTGCTGCTGTCCGACCCATCGGAGTCCAGTGCAAATTGTTTCCATGTAACCTGCAAATTCTTGCCTTCCTAGACAGCTTTTTGTAAAATGTATGCATTATTTTATATCATTTTGTGAAGTATTTGTTAGGTAAGATTTTATGTATTGTTTTTGCAAAGTCAAGCTCTTTTAAAAGGTGCCTAAACTATTCTACCTTCTTAAGCCCAACTTTTTGAACGGTAATTGAGAAAATCATTTTGTGGCATTTTATTTACTATTACCCTTAAAGGGAAGCTAAAATCAAAATTGCCTGTTACTACCCACTTAAGACAGGTGGTAATATTGTTGGACTGATCGACTGAAAGCAAGTCTTTAATTCAGCGCTGAGCTAAACATTCACCGTATGTGAAATATCCGAGAATTTACTGCACATAAGAGGGGTTTGATAATGAGGATTGATGAGAATGCCGCTTCTGCATGAAAATGGAGGGATTAGGATTCAATATTTTTGAGCACCCTGTTTTCTATTTTCATCCCAACACTAAACTTTTAGATGCAGAACTGTGTAGACTGTCAAGGTTTGCCACAGGCACCTGAATCATGAGGTCTGCCTTTGATACTAATGATCAATGCATCATCTATGGGGGGTCCAGGAAAAGATCATTCGTCACATTGATTATGCAACCTACAGAATAATGTGTGTGACTGTTTGGAAGACCTTTGTTACATTCCACTGCTTGTTAGCATTATTCTACCCCTTTATCTTTGGCATTATGTAAAGCAATTGCATTGCTACTGCAAATTGGGTAATATATAGGGGAGCTGCCTTCTAGTGCCCTACAGATGAAGACAATCCCGACCGGTATACAGGAAACTACATTGCACTGTGATGTTGAGCTTTGTACCAGTGGTGTTAGTGGCTCATTTATTAACTAAAGTCCATGGACCCATCGCACTCCTGACCACTTGCTCCACAAGAATCAGAAGGGTGCTGCGGTAGTTAACGGATGGCAACTGTTACATGCATAGATAGAAAACAAAGACACCAGCAGTTCAAATGCGTCTATTGACTTGGGTACAGCATATCACACTGGTGCAACGTTTTGCAGTCTCACAGGATCCCCTTCCTTAGGCAAAACATGTGATGATCACATGTTTTGCCTGAGGAAGGGAATCCTGTGAGACCACGAAACGTTGCACCAGTGTGATATGCTGCATCTACGTCAATAATAGATGCATTTGGAGTGCCGGTGTCCCTGTTTCTATCATTTATTAACTAGACTTTCATTTTGGACTGATAGAGATGTGGCACCATGTGCTTGGCGTCAGGCTGGAGTATAGAAGTACACAGGGTTTAAGAATACTTTACTAGCACAATATGTAGTTTTGGCTCTTACTGGTAAAACTATTTTTGATACCTACAGTAGATTTCATACCACCTCGGGAAAGGGGTCTTTTGTCTGGATTTCCAACAACCCTATCAGTGCAAAACTGTTTTGTTTTATTTTATATACCCATTTCTAAACTAAAACAAAGTATATATTGCGGTTTACCAGTCCTTGGATGTGGTGGCTGCGTTCATTTTATTTTTTATGTTTTTTCCTCTTTTTTACTGTCGGTAGCACATTTCCTGTTTAGGGTGGCTATGCTCACTCCACCACTGAATCTATGGAGGAGCAATGCTGCCACCCTTGGACAGGAGCACTGTGAACATAGAGAGGGTAGTGTTAGTAGATTTAGGTGAACTTAACTGACTAACAAATGGAAGCCTAACTTAACTCCAGCTAACTCAATTTAAGCAGTTACAGAAACCATTTTTCCCCTCTTGGGATAAAGGTTTTACTTAAATGAATAAACGCTGTTACGGAAGGGGAGGGTGGGGGTTGGGTGTCACAGAAAAACAAAGAACTCCTGTGTTAATCCCATTGACAGACTGCATCTTATATGTCTGTCTGTCTGTCTGTCTATGCCATTTTACATTCAGCTATGGTCCTATTAATTTGCCAATAATATGTTACAGAAGTGAGGCATATATATATATATATATATTTTTGGCCGGGAGCATTTGTTTTTGGTAGTATTTTCTTGAAATATTTTTCTATCTATTTTAAAGGCAAAAATGAGTACAAATAGAATAAATAAGCTTTTATTTTTCAGTTTTTAATTGATAATTTAAAATTTGTATGGCTATAAAAAAAAAAAAACAAGGCTTAGTGAAGTTATTAACACATGAAATGTAAGGTTTTTATTTGTTTTTTAACATTTCCAGTACAACAAATGACAAACAGAGTTACCAAATAAAACAAAATATGTGCAGTTTAAAACCTTTTAAAAAAAAAAATTGGTGAGCTTACATTTTAACAAGCACTGAGCAGACACTTGTGTAAACATTTTATTTTAACTGTAAATTATAAGGATACATAATGTTGTTTCACCAATAAAATATTGACCAGTCAGCTTCAAAGATGAATTATTCTGGTACATCATGCAGATTTTGTAAAAAAAAATAAAAATAAAACTTGCAAATTGATCAGTTTTGGTCAGCAGATGACAGAAGTTAAAATATTACTCTCTCTTCAGCGTTGTGAATGCCTCTGATAAAGTGCATGGAAACCCTACATCTGTTTTTCAGAATGTTAGGCATCATACACTACTGTATACAGTTTTATCAAGTGAATAGTTTTTTGTGAATCTGTTACAATGTTTCTGACCTGGAGATCCTACCAGTAACCGCACTTCCTGTTGCAGACAAGAGTACATTAAGCCACTTCCTCTCCATTAGCAGCATCATTGTCAGCCAACTGTATGAGCTCCTTCAGTTGGCCGTTGGGAAGTATTTTCAGAATGAAAGCTTGGCTATGGCAGTTACCATATTTCATCAGTACATGTTTCCCTAATTTAAAGTATAGCGTATCATACATTTGAATATACCATAAAAACTTTCTGGATCTCTGCACCCGGCAGCCACATGTGTTGCATACAGCCCGGCTGTACTAATCAATGATAGGCTGCAGCTGTGTGCGGTTAAATGCTACATCCGTACAGGTTCAGATGTACACCCTGCATTCAGGAACGTAGATCAATACTTGTACACAAGTGTATGCTGGGAGCAGCATTTATCAGCCTGCAGCCACATCCTGTCATTGATTTGTACAGCCGAACTGTATGCAACACATGTGGCTGCCGGGGCAGAGATCCAAAGCTAGGTGTATACAGTTAGACAAGTCTCTGATAGCAGGAACGTAGGAACATTTATGCAGAATTCTATCAGAGACTTGATGAAGGTTTGTCATTTGATTTAATGCTTGCATTCGGTTGGAATGGAGTTCCCCAAACGAAAACTACATTCACTGTTAGAATTTTGTTCATTTGAGAAAAGAAAATTCATCCTGCTCCTTCAAATGTTTTCAATACTATGCATTAAGATCCCATTCACAGCTACACTTTAGGTGCCATTTGGGATTCCTGCATCAAGAACTTGCCTTTTTCTACAGCAAGAATCTAAAATCTGCTGTTTTACAAGCGTCAGCAGTCACTTGTCCAAGTTAAAAGTGTTTAAAAAGTGTGTTTCCCCATAGTTCTATTAAGGGTCATGGGAGGACATATACTAGCGTCCTCCTGTGACCCAAAGCTCAGTATACCGCGAGCTACAGCTTGCGGTATACTGAGACCGCTGCAGCCGGGACGGATCCCAACATTACTGTCGAGATCCACCCAGCTGCGCGAGTGACAACTGGCTCTGCCTCTCTAGGGGCAGAACCAGCTGTGCCCACCCCCTCCCCCGTCCGTTCTGCGCTGGAAGATCGGAGAGGGAGGGAATCCTTGCAATGAGCTGTGACTGACTGTCACGGCTCTCTGCAGGGACAGGATCAAGAAGTGAGCGAGCGACGGTATGTGTTTGCTCACTTCCCGGTCTATTGAGCCGACGTGTGCAGTTTCATTGTCACAGGTCGGCTAGAACTATGAGGATGAGTAATTTTCACTCGCCTCATAGTTCTCCTTTAATGATCAGACGACAGCGGCTTCATTTGAGAGTGGCAGAATGCTGGCACACCGCATGTAATCATATGTGATAAGATTACATACAGTTAGGAATCAATCACTATCCCTGGACGCATTGATCGTGCATCCAGGGGTTAGTCTCAAGTTCTTGCTCAGACTTAACATTTTCTCTTTAAATGCTATTTTATTGGAGACAGTGAACAGAAATCTGAAATGCTCATTACTGGATCCGATATTAGGATTTTATGCCTTGGTAGAGAGGAACAAAAATGTGTTGGCGTACATATTTATTAACTGGCATATGAGTCATTTACACCAGTATCCTTGGATTAGTCATTACTGTAAGAAAACGAACACACACACCTTCCCTCAAGTGTTACAGATCTGGTTATTAATGTAAAATTGTGAAATCAAACTCAGAACGTCTTGTAGGCAAGGATTAGATTTAAAGCTTACTTTGTTCTTTCTTGACAGCAGATCCGAGCATTTTACAAGTCACTGGCTGGAAAGTTTCCAACTGCTATTAATCTGTGCTGTGTGCAGTAAACCTGAGTGTATAGAATCCCAGTTCCAGCCACAACCTTTATTCCCAGTGTAGAAGATTCTATCCCATCAGGTTTTATAGTTCTTTGTGTCCCTATCGAGATTTCTCCTTACTTCCTTCACATCACCAAGTCAGAAACCAGGGGAAATTTCTCTAGGAGAGACTCTGGCTGCAAAAAGACACTTTTTCAGAAAGGGGAAAAATGAAAACAAAACCTCAGTTATCTTTTTATAGCTGTGTGGGTCACCTTCCTTCCTTCTTGTTCCATTGATTATTTTCGCCCAGTGATCCTACGGGTGAGACGCTTCCTGTCCCTGGGTGTCTAGACTTACTCATGTCACTTCATCTATGTAGACATAGATATCACTGAGGCTGGTCTTCAAATATGTCTGCCTTTGCCCATCTCCATTATATGGGGGTGATTGGGATGGGATTAGTAGTTGACTTAAGAAATATAACATTGTTTTTACTTCCAGTTTGTCTCACAGGAAGTGAAAAGGATGCTGCATTTCTTTTTTACGTAATAAGTTTTTATTCAAAGATTTTAACAATCCGTAAGTATCGAACAAACAGGTGATTAAGACCATTCAAGTACAAGGTTACAATGCACAGGTATACAGTATTTTCTGTACTTGCTGAAAATGTTATTAGCCTTCAAAACAGAAAACTATTACACTTGCCACATACTTTCCATATAAAAAAAGAAAAGCTTGTCTGGTATTCAGTTTATTATTGAAACCTGCCCAAAGGTAGTATGTTGTATTATTATTTTGTTGCA